TTTTATGCATGTGAAAACTCGTGAATTCACCAACTCTTTGTAGTTGACCCTGTTTTATGCCATGCTTTTCAGGTGCTAAGTAAGTTGTGTGGACTCCTGGGAGCATTACTTGGATCAAGATCGATTAAGATAGTTTTTGTTGTAATTGAAAATACTTTTGTAACCTTGAAACTTTATTAAGTCGATGAATTATGTATTTTGAATCGTTGACAAAGGGATTTTCTGTAACAGTTGCCAAGACTCGCTTGTCTGTTATCATCCCGTGTTTTCGCTTTAGCGGGGTGTGACAAGAACCTCTGTGCAGCTCTGCATGAAACACGGAGTCTGGTTTAGATTGACCGTATAGCACGTGTATAACCTGTGTTAAGCTCTGTATGAAGGACGGAATCAGGTTTCACAAACACAAGGGCTAAGAAATCCTCCAGAGTTCACGATGGACAATATCTAGCATTGCAAGACTTCTAAATCAAGACGACCAATCTGGCTACAAGTGTGAAGTTCTTTTCAAGAGTTAATTGCTTAAATTAGCCGATGCTACAAGTTTGTATAAATTTTCCGTTGTCTTAGAAATAAACCAACTTTTGATAATGATTGTCCTTGGCTCTTATTAAATGAGAAAATTTTTGAACATTAACTCTGAAAGAAAACTCTACACATTAACTCTGAAGCACAAGAATTCGTAATTCAGAGTTAATGTTCTAGGTTTGGATACGTGTATTACACGGGTTAATGACAAAAGCATTACAAATTCCTCAACTTTAGAAGTAATATTCGTGGTTCTGGTGTACAACTATATTGTTGTTCGTTATTCATATAGTTTTTGTCATTGGGTTTTTGTTCGTACAATGATCTATTAATTGTTCAATATATTATGATATACGGTTTCATTGTTATTTGTTTTGGATTTCATTTCAGAATATTAAGACTAGATGTGCTCAAACGTTGAACTCTGACCATTGCATATTCAGACTTACTGCATCTGAACTACAAAGACCTGGTAGGATAACAAATTTTTCCCAACCGACAGTTCCACATCTGTATACACCTTATACAATATCTTTTGTTATGTGATAGTCAATATTTGTAAATTAACCCTTACAAAAGACATGAAGGTGTTAAACTCCATGTCAAAATGATCAACTCTGCATTGTACAGAGTGAATTTCTTGCTCCCGCACTTATACCCAACATTTTAACTATGGAACCCACTTCATATTCATAAATATGTTTTGACAATAGACGACATGAGAAGACTTCCTCAGCCTACAGATTTGCACGTACAAAGACTTGGTCAAGATTTTCAATATTTATTAAAAAGATTGTGTTTAGCTAAAAGTTTTTCTTCGGACTACACTTCAATGTTTGTATGATTCTTATCAACTACCCTTCATCATGTGAATGTCAATATTTGAAAATTAGTCGTTATGAAAGTGAGTAAAATTGTTAAAGCCCATATTAAAATGTTTGTGACCTATTATATACATAGTTATTACTTGCGCACGTCAGAATTTCTAACCGACCCATAAGTCTCGTACACCACGTTCATACTTCAAAGTGGATAGATTACATAACTGAAGCCGTAAATCTGGTACAACACGTTCATACTGGAACGTGGACAGAGTACACAACTTCAGAATTTTCATAAACTCATAAATTCAAAATTTGAGTTAACGTCAGTTATGATCACCATAAAATTTTGAAATTTGAATCGTTGGCTGTGCGCTTAAATTAAGATTCAATTTCCGAACTTCTCACTACTCAAAATGGCAACTTTTCTCAAAATCAAAGAAGAACAATCAAAASGAATTGCTTTTCTTCTGTAAGGTATGATTGCTTTTTTTGGTTAACTTACTTCAATATTTAAATAAATTAATACATGGTTTCTCTTCTACAGATTAATGGCTGGAAACAATATTACATTCATTAACAATCTTGACATACAAAAGGATGATTTCACTGTCAAGGTTCGAATTGTGAGGTTGTGGAAGCAACCGGTTTTTAAAAATCCGGATGAAATATACTCCATTGAAATGATACTAATGGATGAAGAGGTAAATTCTTATATCTTTTTGGAACTTTAGTATTGAAATCATGATATTGAATGATTTTCTAAACTGCCTAAGATCTTCACATCATCAATGCTCATTAATTTTTCATTTTTATGTTCTTAGGGCACCAAAATACAGGCAAATGTCCTGCAAAAATGGGTTCCTAAGTTCAGAAACTTACTTCAAGAAAGGGCTGCAGTTTTTATCAAGAATCCGACAATTGCTGGATATGCAACGAAGTACCAGTTAGTCGACAATACAAACAAGTTAAATTTGTATTACAAGACTTCTGTTTCGAATTGTCGGGATTTTAAGGGTTCCATTTTTGGATTTTCATTTGTCAAATTTGAAAACATTAAATCCAAAAGTATCCCAGAACATACTGCAGTTGGTGAGTAAATTAAATCCTTTTACATTGATTGTATTGTTTAAATAAATTATATACTTTACACTGATTGAAGTTACATCTTGTCATGTTAACTTTTTTATCATTACATAGATGTAATTGGGGAGGTAATTGCTTGTGAGACTATGGTGACTCTTCTAGATAGCAATGGAAAAGGCAAAAGAAGAATGCAACTTGAGTTGAAGGATTTGGGGTAAGTATTTCACTTTAATTTACTACAATGATCTTCAGAAGCTATATAATTCTTTTCTTACAAATTATGTAGGGGAGTTAAAATACAAGTTACATTGTGGGAGGCTTTCGCTGAGCAATTGAATAATTATGTTTCTATAAACAAGGACAAGGGGATTGTTGTTCTTATTATTCAATTTGCAATGGTGAAAATTTACAGAGGTTAGCCTTATTCATTACATGTATAGTTCTTCAAGGAATGTTGTGTTAACTTGTTTCACTTGATTGTTTCAGAAAGGCCATTTATTTCTAATTCGTTCAATGGTACGAGGCTATTCATCAATTCGGACATTGATGAAATTAAAGATTTTAAGAAAAGGTGAGCAATCTTAATTTATTATTTATTTCTGTTATATATCTTATATTTCGCTCATATCCATTGTTTGTGTACTAATACTCTGATTCAATAGTTTGAACCAGGAAAGTGGCAAAGTTAAATCGTCACAACAACTTTCAATGCTCTCTGGAATGTCCTGTTCATATCGTGAAGATTTTCTTGACAGAACCAGTAGAGCAAATATTGTTGAGGTAATGATTGTTTTAAATTGTGTCTTTACATTGAGTAAATGGACTTTAGTGTACTTTATACAGGCAAATCACTAATTGTATTAGGAATGGTGAAAGCATTTAGAAAAGATGTTCCTTGGTTTTACATGGGTTGCACGAGGTGTAACCGCAAGGTTCGACCCACGTACATTATTAGTGACAAGGATGATGACTCTGGTATGAAAGAAGAGAGGGAGAGTTTTGATTGTACGACTGATAGGTGCAGAGGTAAACAGACGGAAGTGTTGCCAAAGTAAGTAACAATTACATAACTGTGCTTCTCATTAACTATTGCACACTCACATTAATACTCACTTAATAATCATATAGGTTCAGAATATCTTTAAGAGTTCAAGGTGATACAGGAATTGTATCATTAACATTGTTTGATCGAGAAGCTAATAAGGTTTTGAAAAACACGGCAACAGAATTGTATGAGAAAGATAGAAAGGTAGGGTGTAAGCTCTTATCCTTTTTGAACGGTTACTTTTTAGTATTCCAAATACCTGTTAATTTGTTTTCTTTGTTAGAGTGGTGATGTAGACATGTTTCCAAATGAGTTGGATGTTTTGCTTGATCGGAGGTTTGCAATAAAAATTGATATAACTGACTACAATATTAAGAACAGTTGTTTCATTTATGACATTTCAAAGCTAACAGATGATGATGACATTTTGAGTGAGTTGGAGCTGAAATGTCCTTCTCAATATGTGCTGATTTCAGTTTGCAAAAAATATTATCCAATTTAGTCTAAAATCTTTCTTATTCTAACATTATTTTAGCATTTACTCTGCAGCCTGCTGAATTAGAATCAGAAAATCTGCATTCAACAGATTTCAGTTCCCAAGAGAAGTTAAAGGTACTATAAGTGCCATGTTCAATGTAATTTGTAAAGACAATTACAAGCAATTAGTGTTTCAAATGCTACAACTAATGATTGTTTTATTTCAAGGATGTTGTTTCATATACTGGTGAGAATGCAACACCATCCGATGCGCATAAAAGCACTGCAGATAGTCCGGATTCAGAAGAAAAGTTGTGTGAGAGAAGGCTTAGCAAAAGAGTTGAAAGGAAGCAGCTTTTTGAAAGTTTGTATGATGCCGATGAGGAAGGAAAAGGATCGGCTACAAAAACATTAAAGATCCCTAAGGTTGAGAAGTAATATTCTTCTTTTTGATGAACAATTTCAGTGATACTCCCGTTTGGTATTGTGTTGGTGGTTGAATTTTTTCTTGGACAATTATTTCTACATTGGTACATATGTTATGATACATGTTTTCATAATCATTTGTGTTGGATTTGATACTAAACTCATTTGGAGTACAAACTTCTGTAATGTTTGATTTTCATGTTCATGAAAATTATATTTGCTTGTAAGTATTTAACCGTTTTCGGATGAAGAGGTTCTTGCCAGTTGAAAAGCAGATCTGTAATGAACATGGAAGCAACTTCAGGTCCAATGCYTGGTACAGGCAGATCGTCTGCGCAGTTCTGTATGAAGCAGGGAATCAGGAGCAGAAGTTCTGCATAGCACGAGGACAGACATACCTCTTACTTAAGAGGTAAGTGTATCATGTACAAAGGCCATTTTCTATGTCAATTATCGTAGAGACCATCTTACATGAAGCAGATATACCACTCTTGGAGCAAAAGAAGAAGGCAAAATTGTTCTAAGGTCAATCCGTAATCTGTTAGAGTTTGAGAACTTCTTAGGAGGTTCTTGAGGCTTGAAAACATCTAGAGCTTCTTGTCTTAGCATTTTTTTACCTTTCAATCAATGTACTTTTATTTCACTCATATTGTATTTTCTGAATAGTTAATGTAAAACAAAGATCATTTTTAACCTCTGCCTTCAATTAGAATTATGTTTTTAATTAAAATATGAGTTTTCTTTCTTTTTAACTTCTGTTGCAGTATCGAGAACTTCTTATGTTTTTCTTCCTTGTTCCTAATTTAACAAAAAGGAGTGGGTACAAGAATGTAAACAATTCCTCCACTTCAAAAGCAATATTCATGATTATGGTGTACAAGTACATTGTCTCTCGTATTCGTTATTGTTTTGGTGATTGAATTTTATTTTCTACAATGATCTGTTAATTGGTGAATGTAACTTCAAATAGGCTTTCATTATTTTTTGTTTTGGATTTAATGTTAAACTTATTTGCATTGGTAACACAGACTTTCTGCACATAAGTGTTAAGAAATACATCTATCTCTTCATATACTACGCTTTTGCTTGCCATTTTTCATACAGACAACAACAGAGGTTTTGTACGTGCTACGTTGTCAATCTAACCATGGCTTCGTACTGCATACAGAGCTTTACAGAGGCTTTGCATTGAAGTGTTCAGAAACAGCTCTGTCTCTTCATGCACTACGTTGAGTCTCGATCTATTACTCTAAAATGGACTTCAAACTTGTAACTATGGACCATCTAAGTCTTCATTCAGAAAATTTATTCACCGTTGTGTCTGTCAATCTTGACTTCTTTCTTTATACAGACTTTAATAGAGGTTCTGCTTGTAGTAGGTCGTCAATCTAACCCTGCTTCCCTGATTTAGACACAGCTACACACAGGCTCTACATGTAAGTATTGGGAAAGAGCTCACTCCCTTCATTCACTACGTTCAGGACCCGCTGCTTACTCTGAGTGAGGACATCCGAAGTGCAACTTTGGACGGTTCGAATCTAAACAAATTTTTATTGCCCCTTGTGTCACCCAAGCCTCACTCGGTTCTTCATACAGACCTTCACAGAGGCTCTGCAACTGGTACGTGGTCAGACTGAGCAAGGCTCCATGGTTCATACAGAGCTACTTAGAGGCTCTGTACTTAAGTGATGAAAAAGAGCTTTGTCTATTCATGTTCTATGTTGAGGCTTCCCTTCTTCATACAGACCTTCACAAAGGCCCTACACGTGATACGCGATCACTCTAACCCTGCTTTCGTGCTTCATATAGAGCTACACATAGGCTCTGCACTTAAGTGTTGAGAAAGAGCTCTTTGTCTTCATGCACTACCTTCAACAGTCATGTCATACTTTAGAAGTGTACGTCACCCTTGCAACTCTACACCATACCCGGTCTACACTCTAGGAAGTTTSTTCACCTTAGAGGCTGTCAACCCTGATTTCGTTCTTCATATAGACCTTGAGAGAGGGCCTACACGTACTACCCCGTCAATATGTCACCGTACTTCATACAGAGTCATATAGAAACTCTATATTTAAATGCTGAGGAAGAGGTCTGTCACTTCAGGTGCTACGTTCATGTTTCCCTAATTCATGAAGACCTTCACAGAAGTTGAGCACATACTATGCCGTCACTCTAACACTGCCTTCGTGCTTCATACAGTACTATACAGAGGCTCTGCACTTAAGTGTTAAGAAATAGCTCCGTCTGTTCATGTTCTATGTTGAAATTCCCCTTCTTGATACATACCATGACAAAGGTTCTGCAAGTGCTACGTCAATGTAACACTACCTCCGTGCTTCATACAGAGCTACACAGAGGCTCTGCACCTAAGTTTTAAAAAATAGCTCTGTCTTTACATGTCCTACTTTCAGTCTCTGCTTCTGAATCTCAACTGTACTTCAACATTATAAGTCTGTACCCTTTTGGGCTTAAAGTGACGAAAGTTTTTTAACACTTTTGTCTTTCAAGCGTGACTCCATTCTTCAAACAGACCTTCAAATAGGTTATGCACGTGCTATGCCGTAATGTATTTCGGTGATCACAAAAACTTCTAAACACATATTTATTTCATAATTAAATGTAAGAGTTGGAAGCTGACTCTGACTTGTTTGGTTACAGACTTATACAATAACTTTCATACGTGGTTTGACACACGTACAATGTCCATTAATGTTTAAACTATGTAATATGGCTCCAAAATAGTACTAAAAATACTTCAGATTTTCGATTTATATTGTAAATAGTAATTCTCGAGTGTCAATGTGCAGAGTTCCTTGAAATCAGTTCTCAAATGTTTGTTTCAGGTGATAATGTTATAAGTTAATAGTTAAAAGTCTGAATGTCATACTTGAACATTATACTGCATCCTTTGCATAACATGGTAAACATATAAGTTGTTTTAAGTGATAATGTTATAACTTAATTTAAATATATAACTTATATTACATTTAGGTTTTCCACCTAAATGAAGTATGTTATTTCGACATTTATATAATACAATCACTAATTGCAAGTGAAAACAAGATTCACCAAAGCTTATGAAGAATTGAATGCTTCAAGGTTTTGAACATGTATATAAATCTTATACATTTTTATGCATAAAGACAAAGTCATATGTAAAATATGTTACAAAATGAAATGAATAAATTTAAAGTCATATAAACAAATTATATAGCCCTTCCCTTCAATTTATTAAATCCTCTGAAATCAAAGCTACTGAAAAGCATACTAAAAAGTGTTGGGACTGAAAAATCAATATTAAATTGTATTTGTCTTGAAAGTTTAATATTGTCTATAATTGTATAAAAGTCATCGTGTTTGACTTTTCTGTAAAGTTTGACTTTGACTAGGACTTTAATGTTTGACCCTATATAAAAGGTAAAGTCTTGTAATTGTAAGAGTGGAGCTTCATTGTAAATTCATATTACATAAAGAGAGGTTTGACTAGAATTCTAGTGTTGACTTTCTCTCTCAACTCTCTCTAGGATATTCTTCAAGTTCTTATCAGATCTGCCATTGTTGAAGAGTTTAAATGAAGATGGATCATTGTTAGGGGACTCACAATTGGTATCAGAGCAAGATTGCACAAAATCAGTTGAAAGAAATCAGATTTTGAAGGAATTTTCGAAGATTATTTTATAAAAAAAAAATTTCTTCGTGTTCTTATTTTTTTTCCTTAAGTTTGATCTGATTTCTTTGAAAATCTTGTGTTTTTGTGTTAAAACCATGATCAAACTGTTCGTAATCGAGTTGTGAATCTTTGTTATATACAAAGTTTTATATTTTGATCATTAGTTTTCAAGATTTACTAGAAATTGTGGTTTTAAATTTTTTTTTGTATTCTTGATTTTTTTAAAAACTCACTGTTTGATCCATTTTTTTGGTTAAATTTTTTTGTTTTGTGCTTTTGGATTTTTTTTAATCGCTCAAGAGGCCCAACAGTTTTGACCCAACCGGTTTTGGACTTGGCTTATTTCTCATCTTCATCTAATCGCTCATATTCATCCGATTTATCTACATCGGACATCATCTTCCTTGCTTCCTTCTAAATCGGACAAAGGCCAATCGGTTTAGATCTTAAATCGCTCAAGATCTTGGTAAATTGCTCACCTGTTTCAAGCTTAAGTGATTCAACTCCGCTCACTGATTGAGCGATTTAAGAAGTTCTTCGCATAACTCTTGACCGGATACGTGACCGATTTAGCTTTATGAGGATGGTAAGTGGATATCTAAATCGCTGACTTAATCGTACACCTCGTGAGTGGATTTGTCCGAATTCGATCAACCCTTGAGCTGACTAGTGACCGGATTCGTACAACTCTTGACCGGACTTTGATCGGAGTTCTTTAAATCGGACAGCAGTTTAAATTGCTCAAGGCAATATTTGATTAATCTTTTGCTGAGAAGAACTATGAGAAGATAACAGCAACAGCAGCTCAACCACGCCTGTTATCTTGGGAATCATAAGCATTAGAACCATATCCATAGCCAGAACGATAGGTCTTCAAGATCAAGATGATTTATGGGCAGTTCCTGTATTGTTACTGTTTTACAAGCTGCACAGGTACATTGTTTTGACGTTGCAACTTTAGAAAGGGTTACTGTTTTTATAAGCTGCACAGGTACATTGTTTTTACAAGCTGTTTACCTGATGCAATCTTGTAACCAGGCGATTTAGTACAGGTTCAAGCTTAATCATCTGAGCTGCACTGTGTATACGTCTCTCATCTTTTTCGCCTGGATTGACAAAGAAATTTGGTTCGCTGACTGGTTTGATTTTGGCATATTGTGTTTTGACAGTCATCTCTATTTTGGCTTATCTGGTTTATGGTAAATCGACTAAATTGCTCCACATCATCCGGATTGAATACCAAAATTCAACAATGGCCACTTCACTGATCTTTCTTTGATTCCAAGTCAGAAAGCTTTGAGTGGAGACTGATACAGGATTGAATTTTGTTTTGAGGTTCATCATACAGAACAGCAGCTGATTTAGCTATTTTATTACAACAGCTGACTGGTTTACACCAGGAATCACCAGCATTTGATAAAGAATTTTCTCTCAAACTAGCAGTAGTATCTGGTTATTTTGTTTTTGTACTTCACTATTCATTTATTTTATGTTTGATGCATCTGGAATGGCTTCTGCATCAGTTGTTGGAATAGTACTGTGTGTTTCTTGATCTATGTTGAGACTCTTGAGTAGTGTCCTGGTGTGATAAATTTTTTTAAGAAAGAAGTATCAGGTCCAATTTTGGTCTTTTTATAGCAGATGACAGATGCAAAGATAATGTCATTTGTATTCTGTTTTTGATTTCATGTGTTGCTGTAGGTACAAGATTGACAGCATACAGAGTGAAAAGCAAAGGGATATTGAAGCTAGAACCAGATTCATTATTTTAAGTTGCTGATATACATAAAAACAGTGGCCTCAGATCATTGATTCACTTTTATGAAGACTGTGAAGACTGACTGTGCTAAATCACTCAATTTTCTGTGTTAATATTTGTCTGTTGTTTGAACTTGCTCTTG